TTACATAGGTGTGCCAACTCCACTCGCGGCATTGCAGTTATACTTTTCTGAAAAATTTTGCTATTTCTGTTATTCCCATGAATTTATGCAATTTGGGTATTGTTTCCCAAAAGTTGACACCTTGGACTTTTTTCATATAGCTAACATCTAAAGCAGATATTTCCTTTTGCTTTGTAAATGCTACTTCTGTTCTGTAGAATGTAACCAATACCCAGTTAATTTGTAATGACACTATGAATATTGCCTATGCGTCTGCTCACCTGATGCTACCACTAGGATGGTTCCTTCTGTGGGGCACTACAGCATATACGTTTGTGCCGGCCAGCGTCACAGGTGGCCCATGCACTGTGGGTCGTGTTACTTTAAACATCCTTGCCTTTATGATGGAGTGACAAAGGACCACACGGCATGTCCTGGATGCCACTTGTAACCCCCCATATAAGTTTATTTTCTCATGCAGAAGCCTTAGGCCTATTGTTAAGCCTGGTTGGGATCCCAGGAGTGGTGGTGCCTAACTATAAACAGTTAGAGCATGTGGCCTGTGCTTTAGCTCAAGGCTTAAATTGGACATCTAGGGCCATTGCCTCTTAAATAAAGAGTTGGGAGCAGTATGGCAAGGAACACTGCAAAGCTGTCTAGTGCTCAACTATCTCCTACTGTGACATAACCACAGATGTCATGACTTCACCGGGATGTGCTGTTTTAACATCAGTGATGAATCGACGTCTGTTGAGAATGATATCAGCCACTTACCAGATATTATCCAACATATCCGGCAGAACAACGGAGATGCCTGGCTGGCTAATTGGTTTGGCTCCCTAACGGGATGGCTGGGCCACCTCATACAAGGAGAACTCTTGTTTATCTTTTGCTTTGTATTATGTTATATTTTGATTTCTTTGCTTTGTAAAATCCCTTGCCCTCATACCCCACGTCCTTCTGAAGATTGGGACGGCCTGTAACTAGCTTTCCATCGCGGGGGTGGAATGTATGGAAAAATGCAGAAGAATATGGAGGAGAGAGGTGATGGAAGCTAGCCAGACCGTTCCGTAGGAAAAGGAGCATCTACAGGGCATGTTGACCCATAGTCACGCGGCCGAGTCTGTGCCAGTGTGGCACTGCACCTGGGCTTTGAATTGAGATTAGCGATGAGCTCAATATGCTCACTGCACATGCATGTAGCCCATAAAAACCTCACATAGTGCCCCCCCCCGGCGTTCCTCGCCCTGGACCGATGCTCAGCGGTGCCAGGGACTCTCCCGCTCCATTAGTGCCTCGATCAGGAAATCGCTGGGGAACCCCCACTCAGACGCAGAGGTAATAAATGCTCAGTATCGACCCTAGTGTGCCTTGTGTTTGTGTATCTGTCCCTGCCGGGAGTCCAGGCAGTGCCCCCACCTTACCCTTACACCTACGCTTGCAACATTTCTCTGTTCTCCTCTTGAGCAACAGCTAAATATTCTATGTATCCATTGTTAACTTTGCCCTTAATACACTGGTTTCAGAATTCAGTAATGTTCTGGCCATCCTCAAATTCTGAGTTCAGATCTTAAGTTTACTATGATAGCTTATTGTAGGAATAGTGCTGATTTCCCACATTACACCATTATGTTTTCAGCATTTTCTTTGTAATTGATTTATTTGCAGAATCTCTCTGGATCCATTGGTAAGGTCATTTCAGACAGTTTCCTGACAGTTTTGCTTTTCTTAAGAAGGCGGTAAAAATCTGACTGCTGCTGTAAGCAGTGGAAATAGACTAGTGCATAACACATCCTTGTGAATCAGAATTATTCATGTGAGTTACATATAATATGTGTAAAAATTCCACTTTACATGCCACCAAAAACCACAAGCCAATCCTAAACAAGCACAAGCCCTTAACCATGACATAACCTTCCCTAGACAAATGAGCATTCTCCAACCTATATAAAGCAAGCAACCAGCAAACTCCATTTGTAATTAAACTTATAAATGCCTAGGCAAGCCAGTTCTGCTGATCACCTTCCACACCTCTTAACATCACATTTCTCAGCATCTATTTAGCTCCTCAGAGCATCAAGAGCACCTTGATTACCAAATTAAGGGGTCTATATCTCCAATCTTAATTCCCTGGAAACATAACTGTTCTAGTTACAGCTACTTATGTGGATCCAGGGAGATCTCTCTTCATCACCAACAGCTGAGTATCCCATACTTGGCAATCAGTATACTTTAACAACATCCTCAATTGATTCTTTTATTCTTCTTCTTAAGCCAACAAAACCCCTTCTATCTATATTTGTTGTTAGGCTGTGTACTTTGAACTACAACTCTGTATAAGTTCAGACCCTTCAGAACACAGAAAGTTCAGAAATGATCCTTTGCCACCACTGTTTTCTTTTTAGGTTTTTTTTGGCACATGAAAGTTAAACAGGGAGAGATCTAACACCACACGATTTCTATGTGACCAATACTGAAAAAGCCTACCATAAGGGTTGGGACTGTGCTTCTGTACCATGTCTTCAAAATAGGAAAACTAAGAACTTTCTAAAAAATTAGTGCCAGGTTCTTCTCAAATACCCTGCTAATCTGTACATGCAATTAATTTAACTGCACATACTAACTCTGTATTTCTCCTGGCAAATGGTTGATTACATGTCTAATAAGCCATTTCTGGATACAAAAAACTAATTTGGGTGCACAGTCATGGTAATTATGTATCCAAATTAGGTGTACAGTTTTGAAAATCTACTCCTTATTAGTTGTATAGTCTGTTTTTGATCTAACAAAGGCAGATGCTGTGATGCTCTTTAAGCACTTATTTGACACAATTGATTCAGATGCAACATCAGGTGTAATTTTATATCCTTTTTGTTTATGCAGTGTCTCCCGTCCACACACACACTTTTTTGAACCTTTATGGCTCCCATGCACTTAGTTGAAGAGCTTGATATATTGCCCACTATTCTGTGTTTTCCTAGGGAAATTTTGAGGACTAAGTATTTGATGATTTACAGCAAGAAGGCCTCTGCCACCAGAGAGTGCATCTGGAAAACTTTGAATGTTTGCAATAGTACCTGCTCTGGTTTGATTGGCTCAGTTGTTGTGAAGAGAGATTCTGAGCGCTAAGAGTTTGGTGCCTTCCAGCAAGAAGGCCTCCGCCACCAGAAAGCACATCTGAAATATTTCATATATTTTCAATAGTACCTGTTCTGGTTTGATGGGTTCAGTTGTTGTGAAAATGTCAGAATAATGTTGCCTCTCGAAGACGCGATCCAACACTTCTAACTGCTGCTGAGTGAAAAGGTCTCCTCGCATCTGTTTCCGAAGAAAATCTCTACTTGGGAGAGAATGTCCATTTGGTACTGGAGACTCCTGAATACCTTTCAAAGAGGACGAAAAACACAGAATAAATAAGCATTGCAATGACAAGTCTAAAACAGGATTGTTTCACGTTATCCGTTGAATACATGCGGTTATCAGTATGCTGAAAAGATTAAAACACTCCGAGAGGCAGTTAAGAGTAAGATACATATTTCCAGAAGATGTACTGACCCATTATACTGTACTTCCAACCCCTACTGCACTTTGCCATCAATGATTTCTCATGTAGTTTTAAGATCGCACAGAGAGTAATGGTCGTATGTAGGCTCACAGCACTTTTATGACAACACTTCTGAATCTATGATAGTCCAGATCCAGGAAGATACTGGACTGTAAGAAGTACAACACCTGATGCTAGAGTAACACTTGATGTAAATCAACTACAGCAGACCTGCTTTTCCTAGTCATTGTCCATATACTTCATCCCCTTCCTCCCAGTACGGTTTAGGTATTACTGCTGTCCAGAAGCACTCAACTCCTACGCTATGCTGAACTCTCTACTATAGTATGCTTATGTTAGGAAACAGGGACTCCTAATCCAGGACTACCTGTAGCTGCAATACGGTCCAGACAATTCCCGAAACATGGAGACTGTCTAATAGCAGTCCCACTAAGATTGGATGTCACTGGGACTCAGACTCATCAACACAACAGCCTGACAAGGCCGGGCCTGATGGACCCTCTTGGCTCACAGTACTGCCTCATCGTAGTTTCACCTTACATTTCTTAATTTCATAGGCATGGTGAAAGACCAGGCTCCAAGAAAGGTGCATATTTTCTAGCTCTCTCCTTTTGGCAGAGATTCAGCAAAACTCATGGGAAAATAGCCACAATACAAGCGTGAAAAATGTTTAGATTGGCACTTAAAAAGTCTGCAATATGGGGGATTGTTTCAATTTGTTTTTTGCAGATTCACAGTGGTTTTCTACCTTTTCCTTCAAGTGACAGTGCTGGAAATACATCTTTTCTGTGATAAAGGCTAAGGTCTGCAATATTCCCAGGACTCCAGGAGGTGGAACTCTAAGAACAACAGTAAATATTAGGAGATTTTTTTCTAGATGTCAACATTGCACTAGATAGGGGGACAAAACATTCTAAAAATGAAATCTCAATGCCAATACAGTATTGAGAAGCATAAATCAAATGTATACTTAACAATCAGATTTTCATTAGCGTTATTGTGGCTTTTAATCAAAAAGCTATTTAAAAATCAAAAGTAGTTTACAGATGAATAATAACAGTAGTCAGGTTTTTTACAGTGGATTCTGCCTCAAATTTTCTGATGGTAAGTAACAAAGGACATCTGGGCAAAATTACCTTCTTGTTGCAGATACCAGTCCTCTCACCAAACATGCACTGGCCATGAGTAAGCTGAGTGAAGCCCAGGAGGCAAGATTTTTTACGAATGGCTACTGATTTGGGTAGTGATCATTCAACATAGCTGCATTTTCCAGAAAATGCTGTGTACCAATAATTAGAAAGCAAGGCTCCTTTAAGACAGGTCTCTCAGATTGAGGGGGCCAACAATTAGAAATACTTTTTAAAACCTAGGTCAGTCTCTGTAACAGGCTGCTGGCACTGAACACTAATTGCTTGATTTTAGCAATTAGTGCAGGAAACATCATTCTAAATCTTAGCTCAATGATTTAGGTCACAATAGCTTTATATTTACCTATTTGGACAAATTCATGTAATTAAAAGCAAGAACAGACAATGTAAGCTTTGGTAGAGTGCTAGGTTCAGTTTATTCCACGGAAGAAAAAATTTGAACTTGTCCTCCTAATAGAAAGTCTAAGCATGTGTACAGCAGTGTGAAACAATGCAAAGGGATATAAGAAAGCAGTGTATCTTTAAATCTTTTCCTACTATTCCAGATCAAATATTATCTAATAGACCTAGTACTGGGTTTAGTCAAGCATGGCTTATAAAATTAAAATTCTAGTTGCTAGCTGCATGGTAGCAAAAGGCCAGGGAGACCCAGTCTCTGGAGCATAGAAATGCTGGCTTTAAATTTCAGGTCAAACTAACTTTATTCACTTTTTGGCATCAAAGTTAAAGCTTTACACCGTTTTATTCTAAAGGGAGTGATGAAAGGGAGTAAAACGATGCAAGATATGGTATGACCTGGAAAATGTTTTCCGTGACTGCAGTATTGCTTACGCATTGTTTATATAGCCGAAGACCAAGTGTAATGAGGTCTGATTGCATTTAAATATGGTGCAGTAGATTCATGTTTTACCAGCAAGTGTTTATGTTTATGTGTTACAAATGTTATGGAGTATTTGCATTGAGCTCAGCTCCGGGTTTTTTTCTTGTGAATACATTTGGAAAAGATTGAGCCAAACTAAGATTAACTGTAATATTAGCAGCTTCATTAAGTGACAGACACCACTGTGTCAGGCTCAGAACACCTTCATGTAGGTGCTGTGCTCTGTCATCTCTTCTTAAGAAGCAGGCAGTTTAAGATACTTCGGAAAGGCATGGGACAGGGACACTATCAAATGCCAGCAGCTCTGACTTAGTGAAATCCATTCCTGACTGTCCTTCTACTGAGCTCAAGGCAGATGACCCCCTATAGGTCCTGCCACCACAATGTCTTAGGTAACAATAGGAAAAGAAGAGAATCTTCATGTAGGCTGCTCCGGAAGGGAAATCCATACATAAAAGAAGTATCAGAGAAAACCAGAAGCAAGCCAGAGCATTATCCAGGCTGGCTGCCTTGCTGGAACCAAGCACAGGCACCACTGGGCAATATAGTAAGGGATTAAATCAAATGAAGATAGTGGTGACGTTTTGGAGATTTTGAAATTCAAGACCAGGATTTGATATGCCTGCAGAAAGTGGAGCCTGCACAGCAAGTCAGAGGGGGCTGTTTCCCAGCACTATGGGACTGTTTTCACATCTGTATTTGTAAGATCTCCACATGCCACCCCAACGATCTGGCTGAGATCACCTTTCAAAGGTGATTCCTGACACAGCTTTATTTTTCTGTAATGCAATATATGGCTTGCTGTCAGGGAGGTGCCTGGAAAGAAATGATGCAGTTGTGAAACTATTAGGATGACCTGTCATTGTCTAGGACATCCTAAGTTTGGGAACTGCACCTCACTTGCCCTTTTTCTCTCCCTCTCCCTCTCTGTCTCCACATCCCATGAACAAAGGGATGCTCAGTTCTTTTTCACTTTCTCTCCCAAACTCACTAACTCCAGTAACTAAGTGCCGGGGTTCACCACACAAGTAAAGGACTTTCTATATGCTGCACATGACATCTAAAAGCTCACAAAGGTCTTTGAGATGCGTTTGGCTGCTAGATACTATATAAATGTGAGATAATTACTATTAGCATTATGCATTGTTTGAATACACTAGAACATCTTCGATAATTAAAATGCTGTTGGCAGGTTTGAAACAGTATGGTTTATAAATAGGCTCCAGGGAGTGGTAAAAACATTTTTCATATAATCAATGCATCCACCTAGGAGGGTTATGTTTTGTTGACAGTAGCACTACGTATGTGCATACCTACTCTGCAAAACAATTAGTCTCCAGTCCAATGGCATCTTTCCAGAAATGCTAATGAAGAATGCAGACAAAATATTCTCCTTAATGCAAAAGACGACATTCTTCTCAAACGAATTTCATCCTTTATCTTTAGCATTTCATATAGACAGGACAAGAATGTACCCTTAGATCACAACTTTCTCAGATATAATGTACTTCCCTCCTAATACGACACCCAAAGCACTATGCATCTCAGCAAACTCTCTTCAGCTCATGCATTCAGATTTATCCTTACTCCCAGCAGGGAGTGTGTTGGTCCTGGTCTCTACTAGCACCAAGTCCCAGCACGTGCTGGATCTGCTCCATCGAGCAGTGGTGCTGCTTCACCAGCCTTTCCATTGATCTGAGGTGAGCCAGTCCCACATAACCAGCCTCCAAGTCCAGATACCGCTTAGGATTCTTTCATGTGAGCACAAAGCTCAGATCATAATGCAGCCTGTGACTCATAGTTCAGGAACTCATGGTGTTTGGGTATATCTTTATACAGGGAAGATTCCCATGGATATTCTCTCCCGTTCCATATGTGCTACTGGGCATTTGCAAGAAAAAAAAGCAGTCACTTCTCACTCTGAATTGTGAGCAACGTGGACAACCTCTTTCATGTTCACGTTTTACCTAGAAAAGTGACCTGTGATTTAACCACAGAAGCAGGGCACCGTTCTAAAGAAAGTGGTGTGACCTTAGATAACTGACGGTTAATACAATGCTAATATCACACACTAGCAGAGGATTCCTTACAGTTAGCAAAAGACGGAATAGTCTAGGATGAAGGAAGCAAAGAACAGATCCACCTCTTGGAAGAAGTATCATGTATGCGTCTTGCTGACAAAAGGCTGGCTGAACTATGTGGATATCATTCAGAAATGCTCAGTCTTTGTTATTTCAGGGTAAGTTATTTTGTGGGAACCCCAACAAATGGCAAGATTAGTTTAAGAAAGCTGATAAATTGTGATCTATTTTTGGGATAATATACTTTTATGGTTAAATACATATCTTTGACCTGTTTTCTGAAACAGTAGGAAACATACGGAATTGCTAAATATGTCTAAAACAGATTTTTAACATTTAATTCCCACATTTTGAAGTAATGTTTTGTCTACACACTTCAAAAACTGTGGATCTAATGAAGGAGAACAAATAACCCGAGTTCTCATAAATCACCAAACCATTTTTAAAAGTCCTGAAGTTTAGTGTTTTTAAAAAAAGTCAAATTATAAAAATATCAGTAAAAACACTGAAGTAAAAAAAAAATACCAACTTCAGCTTGTTTATTATTATTATTATTATTCCGAGAGGGAAAACAGTACATTTAATTATTTCATTATGAAGTAGCACTATGGAATAGTATAAGACAGACTCTCAATTGATGTAAACAAGTGTAGCTCTAACCATCTAAGCCAGGTCATAGCAACTAAGAAATTGGTGCCATGCTTAAATT